TATATATATATATGTTAAAAGTTTTTCTTTAAATAAATTAAAATATCAGTGTATCAAGATTCCAAATATGACATATACTATTAATGACCGTCATGTAATATTGATTATTGATGTTATATTATTCCTTATATATTTTTCCTGCATAAATGTGTTAAATATTTCGATTATTATTCATAGAAATAGTTGTCTGTCTATAGTTTTTAAGCATAATGAAGTTGTTGTTATTAAGCAACTTGACATGTGTATCGTGAAAGATTTTAAAAAACGCAAGACAACAAACTGATATAATATAAATTAGATTTTCACATTAATTAACAATATTATGTAATTATTTAGAAAAACACAGTTTAAATGAGAATTATTTAAACAAGCAACAAAATACATTTCGATGATAACAAACTTATGAAAACAATAATTAATATTTTACAGATCAAATTAAAAAATATGATAAATATGAACTCTGATGACACAAATCATCGCAAAGTATTACACAGCAAAAGCATGCGAGCAATGATGAATTCACAAAACAATTTCAGATTTCTGATTCAAATAGCACAAATAATATTATAATAATACAAAATGGGAGAACTCACTACACGTACAAGTCGCAACAAGTTGAAAAAGATATAACAGGTGGATGGAACAATACCAAAATAAAATACTGCCAAATGTAAAAACCAAGTAAAATGTATTCTATGGGCAACATCGTAATAATCATATATCATTATGCTGATACACTGAAATATAACCACAATGTGTATGTGTTTACAATGTTGTATGTATGTGTGTGATGTACACAGAGCGTTATCAAATAATCATTATTTATCACTAATTCTGACAATGATTATACTGACCAATAATAGGCAATATGGTAGCATGGTCATATACAGATCAGTAATAATAACGTATAACAATAACTGGGTAATGTCGAGCACCAAAGGTATAACATACAAACAAAGGAGTTTTGTAATTCCGTGTCCGCAGCGTATTTATGTCGTCTCCATGAGCGCACAAACCATATGTATTTATGTACTCAAGTACTATATTGCGTGTGGCATTGAATGTGCATAAGAGGATAAAATATGTCTTTAAGATTTAGCACATAAAATTTCTCAATGGCTTCGTACTTATGTAACAAACTTGGCAAACATTATAATTATTATTACAAACATAAACCGAGTCTTTGTCTTCAACATTGTAAGTATTTTTTTTTCTTTCTTCCTCAAATATACTCTCCTATGATACTACTTAAAACATAAAATCGGTATTCCCTTAATTAGTCAGTTATGATGGCACTATATGAATTACTTTCCTTTATTCTCGCAATTATCAGCTAACGTAACGCACGACTATAATATTGTATGTTATTACTATTACACATTATTATAATAACTTTTATACATATATATCCACATATGCATACATCCGGTTGTATGCATGATGCAAATCTTTTATGTATGTGTACGTGTGAGTGTGTGTGCGTGTCTGTATACATACTGTTCTATTTAAAATTTATACATTGTACAATGTAACTGTACTTCGAATTTAACTGTAACAGTACGATACGCAATTTGAGGAATTGTTGAACAACCTCTTTTTTAAACTGTATTATACAAATACGTGTATAACTACATAATAATGTTTAAAGTATGTCCCCCGTCACACTTCATCATCTGTTTACAGAGTGCATTTCAAAACTAAGCGGAAACTCAATATGATAACTATATGTTAAAAAATATATGAAGGATCTTATAACTTTTGGTGTGATTGCGTACGTATCAAACAGGTTATACCGTTTTCAGTTTCAAAATGCACAGATACAGATAGTAACAGTAAAATGACGATATCTCCTTATGACGTTTAAAAATGTGATGCTACTTGGCTTTACAGATATGT